AAAAACAAAAACCCCGCATTCTGTTGGGCACAGGATATTTCAAGAGCACAGAGATGAACAGATCATTTCTCCTCAGCCAGCACCTCTGTATCAATTGTCATGTGAAAAACACTATGCTTTCTGCTGAGAATACTAAGTCCCTGCTCTTGCTCTGATAATTTTTTTTTTTTTTTTGGTCAGTCTTGGGGCTTGAACTCTGGGTCTGGGCGCTGTCCCTGCATTCTTTAGCTCAAGGTGAGCACTCTACCGCTTGAGCCACTGTGCCACTTCTGGTTTTCTAGTGATTTTTATTGGAGATAAGAGTCTCACGGACTTTCCTGCCTGGGCTGGCTTTGAACCACGATCCTCAGATCTCAGCCTCCTGAGTAGCTAGGATTACAAGCGTGAGCCACCAGCGCCCAGCTTTGCTCTGATAATTGTAACACCTTAATTTTACCACAGTTGTTTTCAGAGCTGGGAATACATTTGCAACAATGGTCTGTGGAATTGCATTTGATGGGAAGAACTAAATGTTACACAAAAGTAGAGTGGGGGTCATTATAGAGAAGGCCAGGTAACGCAGGTTGTGCAGAAGGCTCCATGTGAGCATGTAGGAGACAGAAGCTCCTTAAATACTTCCATGCAGAACTGCATAGCTGAATGAGAAAAGGAGGAGCTGTAGGCAAGGCTGGGGGACTTCCATGTATCAATGTGGAAGCAAGCAGATCGTGACAAAGAGAGTGTTGAAAAGCCAAAAAGTTAACTTGTGGAGGGTTTATAAACTAGATTCTTCTGTGTGTCTATTTTTAATTTTTTTGAAAGGGTTATTTTACCGTTGAATTTCATTTTAGGAATGAAATTCAATGTGTACCTTGCATGACACTCAAGAATAATTCATAGAAAACACAAATTTCAGTATGTTTTCAAGTTCAGAGTGCATTTGTACAGCTGCTAAAGAATGGCCATCAGCTGACTTAACCTGTCTTCTTTTTTTTTCTTTTTTACTAATTGGGAGTTGGCTGAGTCTTCAGTATAAACTATCCCACTGTCCATCCATTTATCCACCCACTCGATAAAGACTTATTACCAGCTACTAGGTGAAAGACCATCTTAGGTGCTGGGAGCAGAAAAGATAAATAGACGCCATTCCTGTCCTTGAAGGGTCAGTGTCAGGAGGGCAGTCTCAGCTTGAGAGAACAATAGCCCAAAGCACATTGATTGCAGCAACAGAATCTAGATCACTTTTTCTTTGTCAATAAATTTAAATGGGTTGTAGATAATAATCAATAAAGTGGGGCCTTGCACACTGTTACCAAGGAAATACTTAACTCAATTCTTTAACGCTCCCATCCCCTGTGCAGTTTGAGCCAGGTTGCATTCTGATTGTGCAGGCAGCAAAAAAAAAAAAAAAAAAAGATGAAATGCTTTAGTTCTTCATATGCCAAGATGAAAATCATCAATCTCAATCTCTGTGAAAAATGAAATGGCTTTTGGAGAAAGGACACTGAATTCCATCAGTCTCTCCAAGGCAGTGCAGCGTGTGAGATGACACAGGCAGACGAGCAGCAGTGAAGTTCAGAGGAGTTTATGTGGACACAAGGGAAACGATGAACCTTCTCTGTCACTTGGGTGAGGAGCGAAAAATGAGATACATTAAGCTCAAATCACTACCTGTTTTGTGAAAAATACGTAATGGATGCTAGGTGCAGGATAACGTATTTGCTTATGCTGTATCAATCTTCAGCTGACATGTGAGCATCTAGGTATTTAAATAAGATTGTCTATTGACAATTCAGTCTATAAACATGAGGTTTTAGATTGCTTCTATTCTTCTTACATCCCCAACGGTTATCCCTTCCCACTAGTATATAGAAATGTAGCTCTACTGCTTCACCTATAAATATTCTACATTTCTAGTATTCACCATTTACACTCAGCCAATAATTCCAAAGAGACAGTTTTATCTACAAAACTTCTAATTTAATGCAGTAATTTACACTACTCTTTCAAAGTGATCTAAATGACATTGGAAAAGTAAGTAAAGGGAAGAACTGGGAGAGAGCAGGGGAAGGGGTAACATTGGCCAAAAAGAAATGTACTATTCACCTGACTTATGTAACTCTAACCCCTCTGTACATCACCTTTATAACAGCATTAAAACATTTTAAAAACTAAGTAAAGGGAGCTAACTTTTAAATGGATCTTAATAATAGAAACTATTGTTGTTTTTACAGTCACAAATCTTAGCCTCAAGCACATTCATTCTGTAATTTCTTATGAAAAGATGTTATACAAATGAAAATGAAATCTACCATTCCCAAAACACTGATACAAATATATTAGTCGTTATATTGAATGTATGTTATGTAAAAAATGAACTGTCTTACTTGAGGATAGGTAGAGGAGGGGGAATATGACAGAGAATGAAGGAAGGGATGACACTGACCAAAAAGCATTGTACTCATAACTTGACTTATGGGATTGTTTTTCTTTTGTACAACTAATTAATAACAATAATAATTTAAAAACCCACTGATACACAAGACCTCAGATATAATACATGCATGAAACACTAAATAGCTAAGACACACAATTGTAGAGTTCCCAACGCACATGCTTCAACTCTCACATCGCCTCCCTTTCAATGCTTCCCAGGTGCACCTTGTACAAATAGTCCCAGAAACATGAAAACCGTCTTTAGTGAGAGGCTGAGACAACAATGACTGAGCATTCCACGTTTTTCTCTGGCAGTATGACTTAGGAGAGAAGCACAGTCCAAGGAAGATCAGTCAATAAATTATTCAATTTTTAGATCAAGCTCATTTAGAGCCAGTATAAAGAATACAGCTTACAAAGTAAGAGGACAGTGTTTAAAGTAAATGCCTGGAATGCATGGATGGAAATGTCACAGGGAAGCGAATTAATTGGTTCAATGAACATGTGTTGATAAAAATATTTAAGACGAGCACATCTGGATTTACATTTCTATTCTGAGAAATTTTGGGCATGTAGGTGAGACATGATTTGTCTTGAGTCTCAGCGGATTCATTTAAAAAGTGGAATAGTCACAGGAAGTACATGTCTCATCAATTCTCACCATGTGTTACACCTGAGTGCCTATGGTGTTGATGCACTTGATGTTTTATACTTACTTTCACTAAATTTTCAGTGAGTGTGATGGACATACATATTTAGTATGTCAATGTCAAATTTAAAAAGGTAGTAAGCTTAGCAAAAGCCTAGGTAGCACCAGAGTAATCGATCTTTCTCAGAAAAGGGTTCTTTTGGATCAGACCTGGAAATTTCATGTCCATGAAGGTGGACATTTAAAAAATCGCGAGCTCATTTGAACAAAGGATTCAAGTGTGGGGGCCAGAGTCCTAGGGCTCATGCTGATTGTGTGGCAATGAAAGCAATAAGTGAAATAGAATCCCAAGTATTTTGCATAGTGTTGGAAGGTGTTAATAAGTCAATAATTGTTGGTATTTTTCTTATGATCCATTATTACCATATTATCCTAATACTGAATAACCCCAACACATTCCACTGTAGCACAAAGGAAGCTCCTGTGTTATCTATGCATAACAAAATGATCACCATTTATTTTCCAGATGATTCCCAAATGAGATGTATCACCCAGAATAAAAAGACAGAAAGAGAAATTGAGAGGAAAGCTGAGGGTGGAGGGAGCTTACAGGGCACAAATAAACAAGGCATTAAGTAGCACACACCATTTATCACAATAATATTTTATGAAACATTACATGATACATGGGAACTGAGATGTCAGGCATCATCAAAGCAGGAAATCAGCCCTGAAACATCTTAAGCCTTGTCTCTATACATTTGAAATAAGGAAAAAAGTTTTTCTCCTTTGCTTTTAAAATACTATTACCTACTGTAGACCACTCTAATGAAAGTCTAAAACCATCACCTGTAATTTTACTAAGTTCTTCTAAATAGTTGAAAAAATAAAGTCTTTTCTCACAGGGAAGAAGACCAATGGTAACTTCTAAAATATTACCTCAAGGAGTCCCCTTTCCAAACCTGCGCTACATTTTCATTTAATTGAAGCTGGGGTTAATACGTTCCTGCAAGTAGTAGTTCTTGAGAAAACACATGTTCAACATGTTGTAAATTTGTGATCATTCCTAAAAAATATTCTAAATTTCACCCACTAGTATATGAAGTACCTTTAATATTTTGGCATCTCAGTTATCATACAAAAACCCACATTTTCTTTTAGCATTGGCAAAGAAAGGATCATTTACAACCAATCAAAATCATAGTGAATGCCAAACTTAAAACCTAAATAGGCACAGCCATTGGTCATTCTATCAACAGTCTCTACCATCCTTCTGCCCAAGAATCAGCGGGGGAGAACTGGTGCCAGGCTGGTAAAACTTCAAACATGAGTAACAACAAAACTCAAAGTTTCACTTTGTGAGTAGTAGGCTAGGATTACAGGCATGAGCCACTGGTGCACCCATGAATTTACAGCATAAACTCAGATCCAGTCATTAGTCAAAAACCATGAACATTATTCTTGTGTAGATAAAATTCATTATAAAATCAAATAGTCCAAGTATAAGAGTAATATAATTTTCTATATATTTCATGTTTCCAAAGAAGAAAATTTGCATATAGCTACTAGGAAGGTCTAAAATGAAAATTTAGCACTCATTATTAGAGAATATTTGTATAAATATGTATTTCCTTTGTCAGATTTCTTTTAAGCCTGTCTTCATTTTTAATCACTTACCTTCAAAACATTGTATATAACATGTACTTTTATTCAAGAAAGTATTTATGATTGAAATAGAATCTCTTTAAGTTCTTTAAAATCTTTACAATTCTAAGAGGAATCTAATAGCAGAATAGGTCAGAAATAGGGCACTTTTGGCTTGGATCTGGCAGAAATGATTTATTGTCAACTCATACTCTTAAATACACTCTTAAGTTGTAAAAAAAAAAAAAAAAAAAATCTGTGGAAAGAGCAATCCAACTGATTTTGTACTTACTCCGTGGAGGAGAAATGTTTGTGATACGCTGTAACTCCACTTCTTCAGCCCATTCCATCCTGGTTGGAATCTGCATCATCAAACAGCTACTGCTCTCGGCCATGGGCACTGGTTGGCTCTTGATTGGAATCTTTCTCAGACTCTGCATGTGCTGTTGAACCTCGGCCAAGAGAACTGCTTGTATTGCTTCAGTTACCTGGAAAAATGATTTTGTTCAATGAATTATTTTTAGTAATACTAGAAACTCATAGGAGTCCTAAAAGAAAAAAAAAGAAATCCAAACCTCAGGATTTTGTTTTGAGCTTACTTTTTAGAAATGTCACTGTCCCACACTGCTATACGTAACACCTGAAACAACTGAAATGTGGGCAGCAAATACTGACAAACTGTTTTTTTTGTTTTTGTAAATACAAGAATCTAGGAGGCTTTTTAAGTCTTTTTTTCTCCCTCCAAGTTTGATCTTGGTCATGCCTGCTTGGTTGACACTCTACTCCTTGAGCCACATCTCGAGCTAATTTTTTTCTGGTTATTGGAGATGGAGCCTTTGGACTTTCCTGCCTGGGCTGGGTTTGAATCCTGATGGTCCAGATATCAAGCTTCCTGTGTAGCTAGGATTATAGGCATGAGCCATTAGCATCTACTTCACACGTGTTCTTTGACAATACTAATTCCAAGATGTAGACTAGGTAGTAGACAGGACTGTGGGTCACAAAGTAGATGCTGGAGTTTCTGATTCAACTTCCATCATTACAATAAATGCAACTTTTGTGTTTGTGTGTGAGAGGGGAGGAGCAAGAGAGAATGAGAATATGTGAGTACTGGGGCTTGAACTCACGGGCCTGGCCACTATGTCCCTTAGGTTTTTCACTTACGACGGTGCTATACCACTTGAGCAACAGCTCCATTTCCAGATCTTTGGTGGTTAATTGGAAATACGGACTTCCTTGCCTGGGCTGGCTTTGAACCACAATCTTCAAGTCTCAGCCACTTGAGAAGTTTGGATTATAAGCATGAGCCACCACAAGTACCCAGCCTAAATGCAACTTTTGCAAAAATCACCAATGTTCTGACCTTTATGTGCTCACTTATTAAAGCAAGTCTTTGACAATGAGAGAAGATGAGAGTATTCAAAAACAGAATACTGTATAGAACTTGTTCTGTCCATGCCTGTAAATCAAGATGGATAGCCTTAGATTATAATATGGCCAGAATATGGGATAACCTGCAGATGAAGTAGTTTAGCCATATGTCATTGGGCTCATGGCTTCTCTCACACTAGATTGTCACCTCTGAGCAGGAAAGTTCTCCAGTAACAATACACATCTGGACTGTGTCATACCTGCACAGATTGGTCTCGCCAGCAAGAGATCAACTTCAAAAGTGAAAGATTGTCCTCAGGTATACAAGATTCATTCTTACCTAGAAACACATAGAACACATGCACATCTTGAGAATTAAAAATGATGACGTTTAATGGTCCTTAACATGGACTGAAAATGAGAATCATCCGGAAGCTTGCTTTTATAAACATGAATGGAGGTTCAACCTTCCCAGGCAGACAGTCTGATCCTGGGGTGAAGGTAGGGCAGAATCATCTCAGACGATTCTCATGTATAGCCAGAATCAACAGCTGCACACACACACACTTACATGTATTTCCAATGATTATTTTAACACAAATCCATGTCAAATCACACACATTTGTATCCTTTAAAAATGTCTTTGAAACTAGTTCAACCACTTGGAAATTCTTCAAAAAATTAAATGTAGAACCATGATCCAGCAATACAATTCTCAGGCATCTACCTAGACTATTACAAGTCAGGAAACAGGAAAGACACTTGCACATCCATGTTCACGGCCACACTATTTATGATAGCTAAGTAATGGAAACAGGCTAGATGCCCTACAATAGATGAGTGGATCAAGAAAATGTGGTATGTATATGCAATAGTATTTTACTCATCTATTAGGAAGAATATTATGTCGTTTGCAGGGAAATACATGGGCCTAGAAAAAAATTATGATAAGGGAGGTAAGTCAGGCTCAGAGAGACAAATGGTACATGTTTCCTCTCATATGTCTAAGTTAGGTCTACAATACAACACACGTAATTATATATACAGGGTTGTATGCATATATACCAACAGACTGACTAAAGGATGGTATATTTAGGGGATGAGTCCAATGGTGACACTTCTGTGAACAATAAACTGTATAGTAAAATGAATACCAGGAAGTGGAAACATATTTGGGGGACAATATACAGGGAGACACATGAATGGAGGGAGGCTGAGGAAACAGTCATTATATTCAATGTATACTATGTAAAAATTGAACTATATAACTTGAGGGTAGAGATGGGATTGGGGAAAGGAGGCCAGATGATGGACTAAGATGCCTTGTACTCATAACCTGACTTACAGAACTGAAATCTCTTTGAACAACTACATAATAAAACAAATAAATGTCTTTGTGCCTCTTTGCCAACCTAAAATGAACCAATAAACTTAACTATTCCTTTCTTATACAAATAGCTCCTGAAATTCAGTCCTGCCAGGAGTCAGTACCTATCATGTATGAAACCAAATAAAAGATTTCCTTTGATTTGTCCTTCCAATCTGATCAATAGGCAAAGCACTAATGCGTCAATTTGGCTTCTTTTGCTACGTATGGTTTACATTTTCCCTCTTGATTGTCCTTCTTGTCTTTATCTTAATGTTCAGGGGAAATGTTAAGAGCGAAGAGTGAGGTAGGGCTCATTCTATTCAAATTGATCCATAGAATGCCTGGAAGTTCCTCACTCAGAACCAGCACTTATGAAGTGCCTTTTCATTCACTGAATATGTACACATAATCATCCAAATGACAAGTCCATGAATTAAGGCTCTTTTGATGACTAATGTGTATCATCTAGGTGTCAGTTCCTAAGTGTGAGATAGGGAAGAATGAGGAGGGGTTTTGTTGGCAGGAAAATTGCTACTACAACTGTTTATTGAAATTAGCATGTTAATATGCATTTCCATTCTGGTATCAATTATTTAAATTAGTATTTTTCAAGATGCTTTTGATTATACCCTCATTTGAGATAGTAACCTGTGATTATATATCATATATTTATATTTTTTCTATCATCTTTATAATCAAGAAAAATGTGGTAGGAGCACCTGGATATAATGTAAATGAAGATCATAAAAGGAATATATGAGAAAACCATCATGATTAATATGTTTTTCTGAAACTATGAATTTGACATAACAAAATCCAGGACATGAAACATATATGACAGGGCACGGTGATTTTTGAAGTCATAGTTCCCATTTCTTCAGAGGCACAGAAGGAAAGAGAAAAGTGTCTTTTGATCTCTTCCTTTCACTCTCATCTTGTTGACCTGGGGACTCAACCATCAAAGCTAAAGATTGGTCTCAACTGTAACTACTTACTGGCATCATGGGGCACTTCAGAGCATACTTTAATGTGATGTTAAAATTTTAATATGAGATAGAAAATGGGAGCCAACTTTTCTTGGCGATGTCAGTGAGTTAAGGAATTAATTGCAACTTCAGGGGATAGATAAAAACATCCTAGGCTCGCCAATATTACTCAGTCACTATTTCTGCTTACAGAAGTTGCGTACTGTTTCCTGTCAGTCCTTTAAGCCCTGAATAATATGTGGTTCTTCAGGATTTGGCTCTATACAACTTTCAAAAAAATTAAAAACTTCAATTTAAGATTCAAATATTTCATTTGCTGAAAAGTTTCAGACGTATCAGACATTCGAAAGTTTGTTTAGTATGTACCCTTTCTTTTTTAACGATGATACTTATTTTAAACATTTCTTTCCAGTTATAGAAATATGATTGTTGATCACAGGTAAAAACAAGTCAGATTATATCTGTGTGTATAACTCACTTACCATTTCGTAAGTACCCATAAAAGCTGGAATAATTTGAACCATCACTCCTGGGACCTTTCATCTTATTATGTAAAGATTCTGTTTTAAAGGATCTGTGGAAACAAAAAAGATTAAAAGGAGATTGGTTTAAAAGCCTGAAAAAAAATACCTTGAGAAAACAAGCTGCAGACATAGGTCATTACTGATTAGCAACTTTGGGCATGAGACCCAGTTTATTTTTAAGCATTACCGTCTACATTCATCTCATTCAAGCACCTAAAATTTAACTCCCAACTGAATGGAAAAAAAAAACTTAGTTTGCTAGAATTAGCTGTGATCAACTCTTTAGAAGAGGATTTCTGAATATTGCCACCATTTAAAAAAATGCATTACTCAGTTTTGAACTGAAAAGCTCCTGCTTGCTAGACAGGTACCCTATCATGGGAGCCATGCTCCCAGCCTGTTAGTTTTTTTAAATTTTTACCTAGGGTTTTACACTTTTGTCTGTACTGACCTCAGACTATGAACCTCCGATCTCTGATTTCTAACCACCTAGGATGGCAGACATACACCTCCATGTACAGCTTGTTTACTGAGGTGATTTTTGCCCAGGCTGCTTAGGACCTGATTCTTGTGAACTCTGCCCTCCTGAGTAGTTGGAATTAAAGGAATGTGCAACTACACCAGACTCTTAAGTTTTGATATATGTCAAAGGATTCTCCCCAGGTGCCATTAGATTCTGTGCTGGGCAATTATTTCCATCACAGTAGTCACCAGACACCACCAGCGATGTTCTTTAGGCACGCAGGCAACTATTTCCTTAAAATTCAGGTGAGTCATGTACCCTATTTTGAGCATTCAGTGATTCTCCACCTTCACAACAACAATATGGTTTTACTGAAAGAGTTCAATTTGCTGGAAGAAATCCAATATACACAATTTTTATTTCTCAAAAAAGTATAAAACGAAATAAAAGATAATCCAGACTCTCATAATAGATCAGATTTGGAGTGACTGATTGAGAGGAGCAGTGGAATGCTAACACCTCCATTCCCATTCTAGAATGTTTGATGGAGATGTTTTAAAGAAAGACCACGTTCAGCGACAACTTAAACACTAGCTCAGGAAAAGCATCTGGAAAATCTGTAAGCTCTCCCATAGGGCACCAGTCCACCTCTCCATCCTCTGCTCTAGGTCAGAAACAAACTCTGTCAAACAATTCTGCTCTGTGGGGTCACATTTAAACAGACAACACTTAACAGCAGCCTTGGTTTTTAGGAACTGAGAAATCTTGGCACTGAGCTATGCCATTCAACTCATTTTGTAACTGAGGAAAGGCTCGGAGACACACAGCTAGTGGGACAAAAAAACCAGGACTCGACCCCTGGTCTTTAGGTTCCACACTGATTGCATTTTTTTCCCTGCCAGACTCTTATGTGAGTTTGTTAAAACTCTTTTCTGAGATTTTTGAAAAGAAAATATATATATATATATATCAACAAAAGTTAGGGAAAGTATATAATGAGCCACAGAAATTTACCAGTCACTGTTTTCTTGTTAGACCTAATGAATTGAACATTAAAAGCCTTATATTACAGAAGCATTATAACAGAAAGTAGCTAACACTAAGGAGCATAGAATTGGTTTGCTCTTCCACCAGACTGTATGTTCAGCTAGTGCAGGAACTCTATTATTCAGTGCCTGGAGACCTACGTGCTGAACTGAGCTCTTACCAGAGAACAGAAAGGTTGCGCACCTACCTTCCAGCCAACAGTGTCTCCTCTAAAAGGCTCTCCAACACATGCAGATGATTTTATCTGCTCCCCATCACCTGTACTACTTATTTATACTACAAATATTTGCCTTATTCTTTTAGTTCTATGTTTTCTATTTATTCCATGTGCAGTATTGTCATCATCTGAAAGCATTCCTAACCAAACCTGAAATTTATTTTCTATATCTTCTGTAGGTCATAAGCTAAGGAAATAGGTTTAATAAATAAGCATTTTGGGGGAACTGAATTCAATCCTGTAAGATCAGACTATGGAAAACTAAACAGAAATATATCAGTGGGAGAAAACAAGCACGACAAGTAGTTAATCACACTCTGGAAGTAGGTTGGTGTTCAGTCTTAGACGTTCAGGAGCTGAATTAGGTTTTATACTTTCTTTCTACAACCTCAGTATCCTCACTGTACAACTAGCAAAACAGCAGTATCTGTATACCAGCTCTGTCATGCTTATTAAGTTATATAGGTAAAGGGATTATGCAGTGACTAGCAAATATTAAACACTTGAAAAACAATATTATTACTACTAAACTGTACTTTCTATAATGAACTACTAGATAGTCACCATTAAAAGGTATGTCAAGCTGGGCATCAGTGACTGATACTTGTAATCCTAGCTATTCGGGAGGCTGAGATCTAAAGCCAGCCCAGGCTAAGAAAGTCCATGAGACGCTTATCTTTAATTAATCACCAAAAAGCCAGAAGTGGAGCTGTGACTCAAGAGGTAAAGCACTAGCCTAGAGCACAAAAGCTCATAGCCAGTGCTTAGAGCAGCATACACATACGCATGCACACACACATGCCAAAATATAATGGCATGATTTGAGATATAAAAATTTCATCTTTCCCTTTTCTGATCATATATGAGCTACATCACCATAAGCAATTAAGTATTCCTTGTTTATACTTAAGTTATGCAATATATACTACATTTCTAGAGATGCTATTGTCTAGTGGCTAGCATTTAGCACTAAGACTTTCTGAGCACATATTAAGGGAACAATGGACATTTGTTGAAGGGACAAACTAAAACATTTAGATGTGCTGCCAAATTATCCTCCAACAGGAAGAGCTTCTCAAAGGAAAGTTTTCGTATTTTAAAGAAGTCATGTAACTGCCTTACCCATGAGGGACGAGGAAGACTATATAGCAGAATACGGAAATAACAGCTGTTTTCATGTCCTTTAAGTAGTATAGTCAAAATCTCTAGGCGTGTCTTACCTGTTAATTTCACAGGCCAACTCTAATGGCATGTCAACCAACTTATTAACTAAAAATAGTCTGCTCAACAAATAGACGATAGTATTTGACTCTGACAAAGAATCATCATTATTGTCCCATCCTCTTGGTGCTGCGACCTGATTTGGAAGAGTGGCTGTGTATTTACTGGATAAGTCCAAAACTTTTCTGGAAAACAGATTGACTCTCGAGTGTTCTTTCTTCATTTCTGAGCTGCCTAAGTCCCAGCCCGGCAGCATCAGTGAGAAGTAGTCTTCATTGGTAGCAAGTCCCACAGACACGGGACCCTGAAGCTTTAAGATATGGAGATGCCTAATGCAGAGGTTGTCAAATTCTTTATCCACTCCCCAGGGCAACAGGCAGGACAGAAACAATTTCGCTGTGTCTATTGTGATGTTGACATCAACTCTTCTTGATGGCTTTGGGTTTGTCTTCTTGGAGCTCTTCATTTTTTTCTGCCTTTTAATGCTATCATTTTCTTCGGAGAATTTGAGGGGGTGATCTCCCTGGGGAGGACAGTCACCCTTAGGCTTGGCCTGTGTCTCTGCCTGGAGGGAACTGCAGGAAGCTTTATTTCTTTTTATTGTCAGTGTTGTCTTCTCTACTGTGCTTTTGGCTCTCCTCAGGATTTCACTACCATAGAAGGAACTGGAAGGGTCAACATCACTGAGTGGAGTTGGCAGCAGAAGTTCAACAAGGTTTTCCAGGTCGAAGAGAAGAACATGAAAGCCAATGCTACTCCATTTTGTTTTCACAGGCAAGACATTAAAAGGTCTTGGGAAAGGCTTGGCATCAGTAACCTATGGGGGAAAAGGATTTCTGTGTCAAAATTCTTTTTTTTTTTTAAGCTATTAAAGACTCCAGGAAGTCAAAGTAATATACAAAAAAAATACTGAGTTACACTTAAAAGCAAAGTAATGCTGAGCTCACCTAAGGACAAATATGTCAGCTGATTTTGCCTTCACTATAAACATTTCCTTTCTAAATATTCTGTAACATTCTTTAAAATCTTTTCTAGTTTTCCTAAAAGTTTTACTTTCTAAGAAAATTTGAACTGGGCCTCTGGAACAAGATGGAATGAGATACACTCACATCTTCCTAGTGTACATGGAAAGCCAAAGATCTATTACAGAACTCTACACATAGCTACAATAAGTGTTTTCTGACCAATACAGCGAGTCTTTTAATATTCTCTTGTTTATGAAACACTTATTTTACAGATTGTACATTTTGTGGATTCCTTTTTAAGGGAAAAAAAATCCCTAAACCAGCAAAAATATAAACATTTCCCTGCATTTTCACAGTACTTACAGTTTGGTACAAACATGTAATTGACTTTCATTTTTGTGTTTGGCTTGCATTACAGAATAATTTCCATGTTTTTCTATCTAGACATCTAAGCTTCCATGCCAGTTGCCTTTTTCCTCAGTGATCTGACTACCAAGAGTGCCCGTCAGTGTATCCATTATTATACAACACTAAATTGTACAATGACATTGAGAAAAGATTTAATGTCTAGTCACTTAAGTTTCCCTCCGTTAGTCTTGCTATAGTCTTCTACTCTTTCACATGCATGTGAGAACATCTATCTGAAGTTCCAGACTATGTCCCACTGACTTACAACATGTTTAATTTCTTCTGATAATTTTTTAACTGTTCATAAGGATGTCTATATTATTGGTTTATTAGTTGTCTAACTCACGGCCAACTACGAATCTTTTCTCATTTCTTTTGTTGTTGTTGTGATCTCTATCCTGCTAGAAGTTTGTCAGTTTTGATCTTCTTTTCAGAGAAACAACTTTTAACTTTGTTTGGCCTCTAAGTGGAATGTTTTTCTTGAGAGACAGTTTTGCTGAGTATAGAGTTTTCGCTTGACTTAATGTCTCACAGAATTTGGAAGGCATTATTCTGCAGTCTCTGGCTTCCTTTCATTCACTGGAGAAGTCAGCTGCTAGTCTAACTGTCACTCCATCTGTCTTTTCTCTCTACTTTTTTTTTCCATTAGATTCTTTCTGTCTTTAATATTCTATAGCAAACTATGATTCTTGTAGATATGGATGTTTTTTTCCCAACTGAGTCAGTGATAATCAGACTCATCTTTGTGAGTATTTTGTCTATCCTGCCATCCTGTCCAGGGGCACTGATTGGAGATCTGGCCAAGAGTCTATAAGCTTTTTTTTCTTTGTCTCTCTATCTAATGCTCTGGATGATCTCTTCAGAAATTTTCTCTTAGTTTGCAATTTTCATTTTCACTTTTCTCTAATATGCAACTTCTTATACACCAAGTGTGTAATGTTGATTTTTATATTTTTTTATGTCCAGAACTTATATTTGGTCTTTTAAAAAAAAAGTCATCTTAGAGGTCAGTCATTTCTTACTTGTAGTGTAGCCCCCTTCTTTATTTATTTATTTATTTTGGCCAGTCCTAGGGCTTGAACTCAGGGCCTGGGCACTGTCCCTGAGCTTCTTTTGCTCAAGTCTAACATTCTACCACTTGAGCCACAGCGCCACTTCTGGCTTTTTCTGTTTAAGTGGCACTGAGGAATCAAACCCAGGGCTTCATGCATGCCAGGCAAGCACTGTGCCACTGAGCCACCTTCCCAGCTCCTAATTTTTAAAAATGTCAGTGATGAGTGTTTGAGACGTGGAGTGAAGGTACATTCTTCAAGAGAGGTGTTGGTTTGTGACTGCTGAGTACCCGCGGGCACTACCAATAGGACACTCATTAAGCAGATTTTTCAGCATAAAGTTTTTTTTTCATTCCTTGCCACTATTATAAATGTGGACCTCCAGGTTATCAGACAAACATCTTTTTCCCTGTTGGTGGTAATGGTGTTTGTTTTTGCTTTTTTTTTTTTTTTTTTTAAGGGAGCCAAAAGAGGAGCAGAAAGGGAGGGAAGACAGGTGAGCAAAAGCAATGGTACTATTCAGTAGACACTATGTAGAAAACAACCTATGTAACTTGTGGGGCAGGGTTGGGAGGAGGGAAACTGGGAGGAAAGTGAAGGAAGGGGTGACATTGTTAAAAAAAAATGCACTCATTACCTGACTTATGAAACGGTAACCCTTCTGTATAACACCTTAATAATAACAATATTTTGTTGTTGGTGGTGGTGGTTCTGGGGCTTGAACTCAGGGCCTGGGCACTGTCCCTTAGCTCTTTCACTCAAGGCTAGTGCTCTACTACTTTGAGACACAGCATTACTTCTGGTTTTCTGGTGGTTAATTCAAGATAAGTCTCCCAGACTTGGACTTTCCTGCCCAGACTGGCTTCAAATTGCGATCCTCAGATTTCAGCCTCCTGAGTAGCTAGGATTACAGACATGAGCCACTAGCCTGGTTAATAAAATTACTGATAAAAATCTTACCCTCCAATTGGCTGGGAAGGTGGCTCAGTGGTAGAGTGCTTGCTTTGTATGCATGAGGCCCTGGGTTCAACCCCTCAGCACCACATAAGCAGAAAAAGCTGGAAGTGGTGCTGTAGCTCAGGTGGTAGAGTGCTAGCCTTGAGCTGAAGAGCTAAGAGACAGTGCCTAGGCCCAGAGTTCAGGCCCCATGACCGGCAAAAGAATAAATAAATAAGTAAAATCTTACCCTCCCCGTAGTGCTGAGGCCAACAAATGTAAATATTTTTCATTTTCTTTTTGTGAGACCTGTCCTTGGATCTAGTTCTTTCTTTCACTGATTGCACAGGCCTTAGAGCGTAACACCCTTGTGTAGTCTTCTCAGGCTCCTACCTCTACCTTGGACCTGTATACTTTAATGTTCAGTAGTGAAAATTAAAACTACCAATTCTCAGGGACTGACTAATGCCCTTTCTACTTCTTCCCACCATCTTTGCAGTTGCTTTTGAGGTTTGTGGGGTTTTTTTGGTTTTGTTTTTTTTTTCAGTTGTGGGGCTTGAACTCGGGGCCTGGGCGCTGTCCCTGCGCTCTTCAGCTCAAGGCGAGCGCTCTACCGCTTGAGCCACAGCACCACTTCCGGTTTTCTAGTGGTTTATTGGAGATAAGAGTCTCCCGGACTTTCCTGCCTGGGCTGGCTTTGAACCGCGATCCTCAGATCTCAGCCTCCTGAGTAGCTAGGATTACAGGTGTGAGCCACTGGCGCCCGGCTTTGAGGTATTTTTTTTAAGCTAGGAACTCTTCTACTCACAGATTCTTTATTTTCTTTATGGATGCTGTTCATCACATAGGCTGAGGAAGTACTTCTGCCTTCTTCCCCACTTTACTTTCCCAAACTAGAATTTATCGGGAATTCTGCAAAGATGCTAGTGATCTGACACACTCCTTGTTTTCAATATTTCTATTTTGTGATCCACACAGCCACACTAAATCCTGCTGTAAACAAAAATCCCAAATTTCTGTAATGACTACCTTATCTCGGAACCACCACCTAGATACTTTATTTTAAATTCACAATGTTACTCCTAATTCATTTAACATAAAAGAGTGGGTTTCATTTGAAATTAAGTTCATTAGATTATAATTAGAAATCAGTGCTATGTAAAAATATACTATGATTAAATATAATTATCATCACTGTGTAAAATTTTAGGGAGAGAGGGAGAGAGAATGGAAGGGAGGGAAGGAGGGAAAGAAAGAAAGGAAGGGAGGGAGGGGGGAGAGAATAAAATAGAGAGGGAGGAGAGAGAGAGAGACGACAGAGAGAGAGAGAGAGAGAGAGAGAGAGAGAGAGAGAGAGAGAGAGAACAAACACATGCATGCTAATCCTGGAGCTTTAACTCTGGGCCTAGGTACTCTACTTGAGCTTTTGTGCTCTACCACTTAAGTCACAGCTCCATGTCTAGCTTGTGGTTAATTGGAGCTAAGAGTCTCACAGACTTTCCTGCTTGGGCTGGTTTCAAATTAAAATCCTTAAATCTCAGCCTCCTGAGTAACCAGGATTCCAGGCATGAGCCACCAGCAACTGGCAGGAAGCATATTTTTAAAGTCATTTTATTCACAAACTGACATGTTGAATGGAAACTTCTTTGTGTAGTTGCTTAAGGATCATCATAAACAAAGTTTTGTTACCAGAAGGCCTTGAAAACAAAATTGCCACTATTGTATACCCAAGTAACATGGAAAAATGATATTCATTGCTTATAATAGTAACTCATACATTATAGATCGGGCATAGATGATATTCATGGCAATAGTAAATTTTCACCTAATTTACATTACTTATATGTATTTCTCAAAGTTCCCTAATTTTTAAATTATTTTTTAATTATCTTCAAGTAGCTGTACAAAGGGGTTACCATTCAACAAATCAGTTTGTCATAAGTGCAATGCCTCGTGATCGATGTCCCCTCTCTCATCATTCTCCTCCATTGCTCCCAACTCCAAACTCTCCCCTCAATTTCTCCATTTTCATAGGATATGCATTGAATATTATGACTTTATTCTCACACCATTCAAAAATTATTTTTAAAAAGTAGCATGCTGGGGCTGGGAAGGTGGCTCAGTGGTAGAGCGCTTGCCTTGCATGCATGAGGCCCTGGGTTCGATTCCCCAGCACCACATAAGCAAAAAGAAAAAAAAAGCCGGAAGTGGCGCTGTGGCTCAAGTGGTAGAGTGCTAGCCTTGAGCTGAAGAGCTGAGGGACAGCGCCCAGGCCCAGAGTTCAGGCCCCATGACCGGACCCCCCCTCCCCCGAAAAAAAAAAAAAAAGCCGGGCGCTGGTGGCTCACGCCTGTAATCCTAGCTACTCAGGAGGCTGAGATCTGAGGATCGCGGTTCAAAGCCAGCCCGGGCAGGAGAGACCGTGAGACTCTTATCTCCAATAAACCACCAGAAAA